TTTAACAAATGTGAACAATCCTCCTAAATTGCATTATCTATCAAATTTTATGGTGAATATAAAACCATAGGCAACAAAATCCGGGAAGAAAATTTTACGATCCTCACCGTTTAGCACTTAATTAGCACCTAATAGTGTTTCCTTAACATTCATTATTTTATTATTATTTTCACTGCGTTGCTAGCATCACATACTGCTAGCGCAACTTTGAGTATTGAGTTGCGGTGTAAGTTACAGAGCACCTAATTTTTGACTTCGGTACCTAAAAAGCACCTAAAAAGTACTTTATTTTGGCATTTTCTAAATGCGATTTCCGTACTTTGCGTTGCTGGCGTAACAGAGCTTACATATTATATTTGAGTTCTATTTATATCCTGGTTTAACTATAGCTAGAATGTTTATTTATTTTCGTTGTGGTTTATGTGAAAGAATTGGTTTTAAGACCTAGCATAATCCATTTATTTACCTCGTTATGTGATGTGATTTGAAGAATATTTTATGTTATGGTAAATAATAAATCACTATTATTATTATGAAAAGAGAAATGACAATTTCTATGTTTTTTACCATTATTTTTAGTTACAATTAAAAGTGGTAAAAAACATAGAAATTTTCATTTCTCTTTTTATTATGATCTCCTACCACGTAGTAACGGCTACATCCATCAATTTATTACTATTATTATTTCATCAACATTTTTTATTTGTTTGAAAGACCTATTGATGCCATTGTGGGTAGAATATAACATCGTTCAAATGTCCGCCACGGCTTCTCTGGGTGGAAGGCATCCGAAAAGTCCAGTTTTTCATGACTTTGGCGCATAAATCAGGCTGAATTTGACCGATGGCATTGATTATGTTGGCGCTGGGGACCGCTGTGGTTTGCGGCTTATTCGCATACACCTGCGACTCAAAAACACCTCACAAGAAAAGTCTAACGGTGTCAAATCGCACGATCCTGGTGGCCAGTTCACATCACCTCCACGTGAGCATGCACTCGAATCGCTCGTGCAGAATATCCAATGTGTAGCACGAAGCGCCATACTGTTGAAACCACAAATCTTTGGTGTCCAGATCATCCAATTCAGGCCAAAAGAAGTTGGTAGTCATCGACCTATAGTGCTCGCCATTAACAGTTATGGCCCAACCAACGTTGTTTTCGAAGAAATATGGACCGATGACGCCGCCAGCCAAAAATCCACACCAAACAGTGACTTTTTCGGAATGCATTGGACGCTCTTAGATCTCATGTGGACTGATATCGTGTCAAATTCGACAATTTTGTTTGTTCACGTACCCATTCATCGAGAAATGGGCCTCATCGCTGAAGATTATTGAATTTTGTTCGGATGCAAAATTCCTCAAGTGGTGGTCTGAGAAAGGCCAAGTTTTTGTGAGCGACGCAAAATCGATTGTTTTGGATTCTCCTGCATATTCTCACAGACAGCGGCGATGTTTACGGCAGGTCTTGCGTTTCGTCGACGTACGGGTGTTGGTCGATCGTTCATTGAACCAGCACATTACGAACAGTTAAGAATTCATTATATTCACTTTGCAATTGTTTCTGTAACTATTATATTTCAACATTTTGTTATTGATCAAGTTGTTCTTGAAAACTTTTTTAAGCGTCCAAAACTTGAGTTTTCTTAGATTTCATTTAAAATTTTGCTTTATTGGATATTTATAATATCAAACCAGTGCAAACAGTACAACTTTAGTTATACTATTCCGGCCTTAATTCTAAGTACCAATTTATTTGTTTTTCGACATAATAAATCGTTGTTTGGTTTTAAGAAATATTGAATCATTTATTACATATTAGTTGGTTGGACTCAATTATAAGAAATTATATAATAATAACTTTGAAACACCCAGATCTTGGCAGTCTTATAACTTGTTCATTTCTCCCATGTTTCTGGAAAACTGCACTTCTTCATGTCACCCATTCAACCTATCTTGTCCCTTTGTTGCATTATCTACAGTAAGTGTCTCTGTTGTACAGCCCTATTTTATTCAAGTGTCCTCTCAGTGGACAATGACCAGCGAATAGCCTGTGTAATGCAAGATTGCGTTCACTTCAGCCTGGAAGACTACTCTAGCCATTGTAACCCAGTAAATTTTTCAATCTGAATTGGCTCATTCTTGCCTCTCCTATTATTATGAGATTTGTTCAAAAAATGAAGTGAATTTTAATTTTTCTCAAAAAAATACTCGTCAATTTCTATTTTGTTCCCTTCATAGTACTCTCCTTCAGATATAATACAACGTTTTTTCCAATTCTCGAAGCAGTTTTGGTATGAACTTGCTGGTGTGTCTTTAGCTCTCTCGGCGATTGGGTTTTTTTCTTTTCAATCGTCGCAAAACGCCATCCTTTCACTAGTTTCTTCAATATTGGGAAGAGTAAAAAGTCGCAGGGAGACAAATCTGGTGAATACGGTGGCTGAGGCATGATTAGTTTTGTTTTCGGCAAAAAAAATTACGACTAAGCAATGAGGAGTGAACAATCGTTATCGTGATGCAAAAGCTATGAATTTTATCTCCACAATACTGGACGTTTCCTCTTATTGCTTCTCGCAAGCGGCTCATAATTTCAAGATAATACTCCTTATTGTCCGTATGATGCACTACGCCACGGTAATCGAAGAAAACAATGAGCAAAACTTTGACATTGATCGAAGTTGACGTGTTTTTTTTTGGTCTTGGCTTTCCTGGACTCTTCCATTGGGACAATTGGACTTCGGTTTCTATGTCATAACCCTATACCCATGATTCGTCACTAGTGATGACCCTTCTGAGCAAATCTGGATCGCCGTTGGAGTAATTCAACAATTCCTGAGCGATGCCCATGAGACGGGTTTTTTGGTCTGCCACATGCTTCATGCCCAAAATTTCCGAAAAATTGCATGGCATAAGGCATCCTCAGCAACTTCTCTAATAGTAATTCTCCATAACAATTTTCTTCACTTTTCCAGGTTTTTCATCAGTTGTTGATGTGCTGGGGCGTCCAGGGCGAGCGTCGTCATTCACATCTTCTCGACCTTATGTATGTGAAGAGTTTGTACCACTTGTAAACATTTTTCTGAGTCAGGGTACAATCACCGTATGCCACTGTCAAGTTTCCAAGTGTTTTTCAGCCCTTTATTCAATTTTTTAAACAAAATTTGATGCACATTTTTTGGTAATTTTTTTTTATAGCAGAAAATCGCCGACACGCAAAACACTTCTAACTTTTATGCCTCTCACCAACAAACTAAACATGCTAAGCAGCTGTGACTGTGAACATATGTTCGAGACGAGTGTACTAACATAAAAAAAGTGAAGAGGGAAAATTCAAGAGTGTCTCCAATGCTGTTCTTGGTATAGTTCTCACTGTGCCAGTTATTTCCAAACAAGCAAGACTGCAACCTGTTTAGTTTGTTAATGGAGAAAATAGAAGAGGATAACAATATCAAACAATAAAAAAGCGGTGAATTGTCATAAGTCGTAGTGTGTCCGACCTATAACCCAAAGGTTGTGGGTTCCAATCCCTCTTGGCCAGATATTTTTCTGGCGAGAATTTATTTGTTTGAAGGGAAGTTATTGACATAGCCTATCCAGAACACGAAGCTAATGACAGTAGTTGTGCCATTGACACAAAAATATAAAATAGTAATGGGTAGAATCAGATGAAATCAAAATGTTTTACGTTTTTTACAGCTGGTTCGACAAAAAAGTAGATTTGCCTATCAGTTTGTGCATTCTAAGATTTCTATATACATTGGTGTTTGCTGGGATGCACTTTTGTTTCAGAAATTTTTGTAGATTAACTGTATCTGTTTTAATGTTATTAATTCCTTTATTTAGCATAAGCTAATATACAATATGTTTGNGCAAGAAGGTGCCAATGCTCAATATTTCTAATAATTTGTCATTTATCCTTGATGGTCGATGTTGCCAATACTATTATATTTTCTCAGAAACAAATAAGTGAGGTTATTCCAAAAAAACGCATGAATTGACGTTCGCTGACATATCAGGATTATGTGCGCTATTTGAAGTATTGGGTGAAATGAAGCGATCTTGCCTTCTATGAGGGTGTTCTAAAAGTAATGATATAAGTACAATTTTGTATAGAATATTTAAAGTCAGAAAAATTTGTAAAATATTCAAGAAACAATATAAACCGTGATATAACTAATAATAGGACGTTAAAGAAAAATGTGTATTTCAGTATCCTGTATCGAAATATGACAATCGAGCAGAGAGAGCGAATTACTTTTGGCAGGACGGACGTATCTGGAATAAATTGAGGCGAACTAAACGGAATACACCTAATATTACAAGAGAGGATTCACATATGTATCATTATTCGTGAAATAGTTTGATTCCTATTCAATAGGTTTACGATAAAGCAAACGCGTTCAAGTGTTCACTCATCTTAATATGAATATTTCCTTTTCAATATTCACTTAAAAATAAAATGTTCACAACGCACACAAACTGACACCATTATAATTCTAGATTCTTGTAGATTAATAAAAGTGATTCAAATAGATCGAAAAATTTTGGTATGGTAGAGTAAAAGCTTCATCATACCAATGCCAAAAAATGCTTTCATAAAAAAATTATATTATAAGAATATATTGGTTCGTAGTGCTGCGTAGTGAGCGTAACCGTTCTCTACATTTTCTATTGGATTTGATAATGTCCAGCACTATTCATTAATTAATTGACAAATAACAGAACTATGTAATGAAGACCACACACTATAGTAATAACACAACACTTTTTCGAAATCTTAAAGTTTTTTCTATTTTACTGACTCACTTTCTTCTTAGGGTACTTGATTGGAAAATATAATATTTATGGTAGTAATAGGTATCCCCTTAAAAATTCAGCATGAGTTTGCGGTCTATTAGGAAAGCAATACTACCTCAATACCAGAGAGTACGTCGACAATACCAGAATAGATCGGGATTACAGAACTCTCATCAATAATCATAAACTTTCATCACATTTCAGAATACTGAAAATTCAAAGACGAATTTACCTAGCCAATTTGGTAGTCTCACGTTTTCTTCAAAACGAATGGAAAAGCAATAATGAGAACTATTTGAGACTAGATGAAGCTATTTTGGATGAAGATAGAGAGAAATTTTCAACTTATAGAACAAATCAACATGATGATTTAGTCAGACAATTTTACATGGCCATAAAGGTGTATCTGTTGAAAGAAAAACCAATAGCAACAAAAAATGAAGTACTGAGATATTATATGTGAGTATTATTCAGCAGTGAGTATTATATATATATATCTGGAACTGGAACTGAATGCCCAGCCGATAGCAAAGTCTAGTATAATGGCCCTCTTAACACAGATTGAAGATAAAGGGTCCAGAATATTCGTCATTGATGAGCAAATCCAAATGGTGACAACAGATGACGAAGAGTTCGAGAAGGAGTATGAAGAGAATAAAAAGTTTCGTGAGAATNTCTTGATATTGATAGTATTCACGGCACGACAACTGGAGTAGATATTTTTAAGGGAGTTAAAAATGCCATTAATAAAAAGAATCTTCAATAGAGAAATTTCAAATCTATAATAACTTATGGAGGCAAAAATATGTATGGTAAAAATAAAGGAGTGGTTGCACTGCACTGAACGAACTGAATTTGAGATTGCAAGGAGAAAATCAGCTTCTCCCTGATTTATACACCAATATCAAATCCTTCAGGCAGAAAATAATACTATTTCAATAATGTGTTTCACACATTTTGAAACATGTGAAATATTCAGCCATACTACAGAGACTGAATTTCCCGCCAATTTTGCAATCGAAACTTTGAGTGCTTTGAAGATGAATTTTGATACTCGTTTATCAGATTTTGATGCCATTGCGAATGAAATTAAGCTTTTTCAAAATCCTTTTGATTCTGACATTGAAACCCTGGCTCCGGAAGTCCAAATGGAAATTATTGATTTACGGTGCAGTGATATGCTTAAGAACATATATCAAAATTTATCTTTGTTGGAATTTTATAAGTCTTCCACTGGAACAATTTGATGATTTACATAAATTTGCTCGTGGGTTCTTTTTTGTTTTTGATACTACTTACTTGTGTGAGAAAACGTTTTCCAAGATGAAGTACACAAAGAATGTTTACACATCTCAATTACCCGATGAGTATCTGAAGTCTCTTTTGATAATTGGTACAAGTAAAATTTTTCCACAACTGCAAAGTATTGTCGATGGAAAATCACAATCACATAAATCTCATTTGTGTTTTTGTTTTACGGAGATTCATTTCAATTATTTGTTAGTTATTAATATGCTTAAACTTAGATACTCAAGTTATCACAGCAATAGTAACAACAATTAGGTAATCATTGGCTGTCGCGGGCCGGATTGATGACACTGGCGGGCAGGATTTGGCACGCGGGCCGTAGTTTGGATACCCCTGATCTAGGCTCTACTCAAACTGAACGTGTCATCCTGTTGTATGTCCTTTTATACGGTCCGAACGCCTCAATGCAGGTACTCCAAGTACTTTGGGTAAATTTGCCGGTATTTGGATTACATCAGGTACTATTTTTTGTGTTGGATCTTCTCTAGGTTTACTGTTTCTAGGAGTGTGTATTGATTTGTTTAATATATTGAATGTTGAGTCTTGTTGTGTTTTGATTTGTAATTTTTCCTTCAGATTCGAAATAATTTTGATTGAGTATTTTATTTAGACTGTGTTCCATTTGGTTAATGTAGGTTTTGTTTATGTTTTGGTGTTTCAGTTTATCAGATATGATGTTTATACTTTCGTTGACTGGTATGTTGGAGTACATGTTTTTTTATGTCAAATGAGAATAGTTTAGTGTTCGGGCTGACCTTTGTCGTTGAGATTCTGTCTGTGAGTTCCATTGAATTTTTCACGCTGCGGTTTGTGTTCCTGTTGATTTTGTTTTTCAGTTCATCGGCTATGATTTTCGAAATTTTGTATGGAGGTGCTTTGGTAAAATTGATCTTTGTTTTAACGCACGGTGCGTGCGGGTTCCAAGTGAGCCAACGGTCTATTAGAAGACCAAGACCAAGAAGACCCGCGCTTACCAGTCAATCTCCCTACCGGAGATTCTCACTTTTCTGGCCGTAGAAGATAGCAATCTTCCCAGGGTTATCGCCTGAGTCTTGTCCGGGTTAACTCGGATCTTCCAATCGAGGTACCAGTGCTCGAGGTCGTCCAATGCACGTTGCATGTAGACGACGCCGAGTCTTCTTCCCCTCGAGACTACGGGTGACTCGCCAAAGCTCGTCACTCCCAGGCTCAAAGGATTCCAAGAGCTCCTCCCACCTTTCGTATCGGTGATGAATGATGGCCTGCTTGACTTGGTTGGCCATCCTACTTGCCGCAATTTCATCTCCTGGGAAGAAGGTTTGCTGGCAGAGCCTTCTCAGGCGGTTTCTCTCTCGTATCATGGCTTTGATATGAGGGGGAATCTCATTGTAGCTCCTCAGCGGACCCTCCTCTCTGGAGGTGGCCACTCGAAACGCATCATTCACAGAAAGCTCGAAACGCTCAACTTCCGCGTCGAGTTCGTCGGGAGAGCGAAGTGCCTCAGGAGGGGCGCGCATCTCTCCGAGCTGGGTTGTGAAGATATCCCAATTCGTCTTAGATTTCTTGCAGTAATCAGGAGAAGGAAGATCATCCCCCAATACCAGGATTACTGGATTATGATCGGAATCCAGTTCCGACAGAACGTAAATTTCGCTAGTCAGAGATACGTTTCTGAGAAGCGTGATGTCTAGTACGTCAGGCCCAGTCTACCCGCGATAGTACGTAGACTCATCTGGTCCCAGTACCACATATTCATGCCTGTCAACATGCGCATAGAGCGCTTGGCCGTTTCGATTAGTGGCTCTGCTCCATAGTCTGTGCTTGACAATGAAGTCACCAGCAGCAATTGTCGGAATGTTGCTTTCCATCAACAGTTCACCCAGATATTCTGGGAGTAAATGATTGTTCAGAGGGTTGTAAACAGAGATTATTCTGTTGCAACCCCTGCTCAGTTGAATTTCGCCACGGCCTCAGTTCCATGTAATCGAGAACTGTCAATGCCGTATTCGACACACTGAAGGGATCGTTTGACAAAAATGCCAACTTTCCCTCCAGCATGTCCAACACGTTCTCTGTGGTAGAATCTGTAATTTGGAATGACAATGGATTCGTTTCTCAGATGCGTCTCTTGAACGAGAGCCACATCGATGTTGTATTCAGTTAGGAAATTCTCGACATCGTGTATTTTAGAAAGAATTCAATTAGCAATCCGAAAGACTATCTTCACAGATCTATACAATGTTGGTTGTCTAGACATTGGCTGGACTCATTTCCCTGAAATTTGACTATTTATAGGTCATTCGAGTGCTTTCACTTTTCCCCTCTTCCTTCTCTTCGCTTCATTGGTTTTAGCGGGAGTTGACCGTTTGGCGGGAGGTGGTCGTGTTCCACTTGATTAGAGGTTTCCAAATGTTGCGCGTCTCTACGCTAGCTTGGCTGAATGCGTTGTTGGACAACATGTATGCGCCTTCTTTGCTTCTTTGAATTTTCTCCTAAACCAGTGTTCTTTCTTGTGGATGATTTCAGCTTGAGCCCACTTGATGTTATGTTGATGAGTCCAAACACGCTCTGCTATTCTTTATTTGCTGGGATCTCCTCGCTATGTGTGTTTTTTGCTTTCGGCAATGCGAACTTGCAATGGCCTCTCAGTTTCACCAATATAGGATTGTCCGCACTCGCAGGGTATCCGATAAATGTAATTCTTGGAATCGCAGTCCGCGTTTGGAGGCCTGGTGTTCGTGAGGCTGCTACGACCTCTGAAATATGTCATCTTTGTTTGTCTCATAGGGTAACAGATTCATTGTCCTTTATTAGCTAAAACCGATGTTGCCAAATGGTGAAATAGACACGAATCCCTTTGTATGTTGAATGCATTATTTCATTCCTCTAAGTATTCAAATGATTTTTTAAAGAAAAAGGTTGAAAAGATAAGTTTAAAATGCCTTGTTTTAGAGCTTTTTTATGAAAACTACTTGATTTTCGTCAGGAAGAACATTCCCCATTGAAACATTTCTGGAGCAAGTGTGATGAGAGACATCTGGTGTTAAAGTATGCATACAATGAGAAAACCGAATGTCAAATTAATAAAAAAACTTTTAATTGAAATTATTGAAACTTCACAATTCTCAGTGATATGAAGAGAAAACTTATTCTTTCATTGAAGAAAATATTGAGAAATGAATGATAATTGGATTCTAATGTACCTAATAGACTATTGAAAGACAAATTATATTATTCATCAAATATATGTAGAAAGGAGTGAAAGTTATGATTTTTATTTTGGTAAAAATTCAGAAATATTACTACTTTCGAGTTCAAGTATATTTTTATTAATGTCAAGCAAAAAGGCATATATTTCGATGAGGTGGTTAATATCTGACCTTTTATTCAGGCAGTTGACTGATCGTGAAATGAATGACATTTCCAGAAACAATCTTTCAGTTTCATTTTTTTCAATTGTCAAGATTTTAGTCGAGTTGTAGTCCATATTGTGACCTTCTCTAAGAACATGATTAAGAGTAGTGAGGGCACATCTCTTAGGTTGTAATCTACTATCACTTTTGAGAGAAATAATCCCATCTTTGAGTAGTCTTGATGTTTGACCAATATTATCGCACTTCTGCAGTTGACACATGGTATTGAGTAAATCAATTTGGATTGGAAATTCATAGGAGTTTTATATTCAAGTTTGGAAAACAATTCATTTTTCGTTAAAATGGTTCTGAGAGGTATTTTTACACTTACACTGCAAAATTTAGGTGTCACATCATAAATTTGTTAGAAATAGATAATAAATGAATTTTACTTTTTGCCTGTGTTCGATCGATATCTGACTAAATATTTGTATCTGTGTAAAATCAAATGTCTAGTTACAATCAGTCGTATTGTGAATATACGAAACCACAGGCAACGGTCAATAATCCAAGTAACCAGCATATATTGATGATTTAATCAGTTTTAAATGAAAAGGAAATATTTTTCAGAAGATATTAGTTTTTGGAAAAAAACATTTCAGCTTCTACTTTTCCATTCTCCTCATCACATTATTTGTTTTTCGTTTTTTTCAATGAACAATTTTTTCAGATTTTTAGTGACGGCAAGGATTATGCATTATGCTATAATTGGAATGGTCCTATACCTGGTATTATGGAAATATAATTTACCAACGAAGACATGGGAGATGATATATAATTATATAAATAATCTTGATTCTTGACTTCATTACTGACTGGATATTTCCGAAGAAAGGCAGTTTATCATTCATTCAGTTATTAAACTAGAAAAATCATTGAAGTTTGTTAATTTCACTGAATATAAAATGAAATTTACCAATTCTTCTCGAAATTTAATTGATTTTATTTCGAAGACGGAGATATTTATTAGCGGTAGCAAAACGAGTACCACTTTCAGATACCGAAACTACAACATTCTTCTCGTCTCGCGTTACTAACCAAGTTAACATTTTCAGGAGATGAAATAGGTTACATCGTTTCTTGAAAATGCCAAGTAACCTATATGTACATTGTGTCTGAAATAAAAGATGATTTAGAATTAAATACAAAAACAATAAAAAATAATAGTAATTGACTAAGTACCTATATCAATGTATTATAATTTATAAGAATGAGTTTTGATTTTTTTTGGCCGTTAGTAATGATGAATTAAAAGTATCTATCGAAGTATTTTGTAGGAGTATTCTACCATTATCGATACCTTAATGTTCCTATGGTTTGAAAATAAGTTTTATTGTTGCCACTCTCCATATAATCAAATTGTTGTTTATGAATTTGTTGTGACAGAGACGAAAGGAATGTTAAAAGTTTTTTCTTTTGTTTTTATGCTAATCAATGCAATCGTCAGATGTTTGCTTTCATTCCCATCTCTAATAGATTTGTTCGTTTGAGGTCAACTTTAGAAACTTCTCAATAATTTGTTTCATTTGATTGTTTTCAATGGGTTTCCACTATTTTTTTTTATTTTTTCTTTTTGTGAACATCAGTTCAACTGTATTATAAAATAAATGATCCAATTTCTCATAGAAAATATCTATAATGGAATGAATTGACAAATCTCCTGAATATATACACAGAAACAGACGGTAATGTGAAAAGAGTTATTGTTACTTGATTCTACAAAAAAAAAGGGGAACGTTGTCATATGTTAAAGACATTATGGTTGGGCACGGATTTTCCTACGTCCCTGATATTATTTGACTGAATCCTTTTCCAGTCATTTTTACAGAATATTTACAAAATCACTATCAGTAAGTACCCTATAATCGATCGGAAATACATAAAATAAGTTCGATCAAAACTGATTTTATGCAAATGACAGGGTCGTCACTTCATTCAGTCCACTGTTGGGATTCCTATGATATTATTTTACTTCACTGCTTTCTTATAAAGCGAAATTTCTAATTTATTTTACCTCAGCACCGAAAAGGTGTCAGCATTCTACGTAATTGTATTCATATATTTTCTCAGAATACTATATATTCAATTCATTGATTGACATCGTCAGTCAAAATTGTATTGAGAAAGATGTTGTAGTCAAGATAAAAAATAGGTTCAGTACCATGATTCCAGTCATCTCCTATTGATGATAACTTGGGAATCGCGCGTGAAGAGACAGTATTTTTGTTCTAGCGTGAAAGAATTATTTTTGATATATATATACTACTAGATTTTGTGCTTCCTAAAAAACATGTTTGTTATTGGCAAAGCATTTTATTAAAACAATTGACAAAGCAAATATAATAAGCACTAATTTCCTCATGATGATCCGGAACCTGCTCCTGCTCTACCACCAAAACTGAATCCTCCCCCTCCTGAAGTACCTGCACCTGTACCTCCTGAGGCATCGCCACTTACACCTCCTGATGCAACACCACCACCTCTACCTCCACCTGCTCCCTGAGACGTACCATTAGGAGATCCCTTTGGAATATCGGCCCCATTTACTTGACTCCCAACCTGGAAATCATTTTGAAATATTTTTAGAATCTCCAAAATTATCTGTATCAATACATATTATGAAACAATATCCCCCGCCGCTTCTGTATGACTGACTGTCTAAACGTGATGGACCTAATAACTACCGAAAGGATTTTCAAAAGGTTTTCGTCAAAGGACGGAGAGATAAAAAATGTGTATACATAACTTATATAAAATTCTAATAAAATGTGGATTGAGGATACTGTTAGAATGTCGAGTATCAAACTGAAAGACTAATTTTTAATGAAATGTAGTTTTCCAGTTCTGAATGAAGAACAAAAACTGGGCGCTCCTACTATCAAAGGAAAGTATTTAATGCAAACAATCCTGCATAAATGGCTTGGAATGTAGTATATAGTTTGATAAATCGTATGAGATTTTTTTTTATATCTCTATCTAACATGAAAATGAATTTGTTCAAGACCCAGAGAAAATCAGTAATTTATTTGATGAATTTTTAATAAATCTGCTAATCACAATTCTCAGTGAACATAGGCCTCGAATTACAGCTCAACTAAACCAGAAATAACTGGGTTCAGTTAGTCCCTGTTTCTCGAACCCTTTTCAGAACCTGAATTATAAGAACTCATGTCGAATAATCTAAAGAATAAAGCCTTGACGGGGCCAAATGAGATTCGGTAATTTATTTTAAAGAAGGTGTTACGTCATACTATTTTACCACATTCTGTCAATCTTTTTTTCACTTGTGGATATTTTCCATCGGCAAAGTGATTGAACGATATGAGAGATAAAATGGTGAATCATCCTTGAAGCATCGGTTGCTTACTCATGTAAGAGGAACAGCTCTTACCGACTCTTACCTCATTGTCTGTGATGGTGATTAATCTATAGTTATACCTTATGAAACACATTTTCTGGGGAACAGAAATTGGATGCTGTATTATTGTCACTTTTGGTAGATGTTGTTTCAAAACAAGTTTCAAGAGGACCCCATCTTCAGCTGCTGCTCATAAAGTTTTGCATTGTGATGTGATACAACTGTTAATGAGTTGACAAGTTTCACTACAGACCTCTTGCATATAATAGTGTCATCAAATTGGGATGAGATAATTATGGCCAGGAGAAAATTCAAAAAATGGTTTTTCTTTTTTTGCTGGTTCAAACTAGTTTTATGTGATTGGATATATTTGCTACATGTTACATCTTCAATTTCATTATTCACGATAGGAAAAGAAAATATAATTATAACATCAAATGTACTTGCCTGAGTGAGGTTCAGTTTTAATTATATGAAGATCTAGTCGAAATGAATGATTCCCACCATAACCTTTATTCAAGCTACTCTTGGTCAAGAAGCATGTCCATGAATCAAGTATCAGCGATAGCTGAATAGGCGGCAGATTCAATTCACCGTTTTTTAAAATTTGAACTCAACTGGTGAGTTCGATGCAGAGACGGAGTTACGACTATTTACTTCGACTAGAATTTCATATAATCAAGATCACTTTGTGATATATTTTAGGTACTTAGCTTTTCAGTACAGCGACTTATTATGCCTGAGACACAATTGTGCATGGTATTTATTATTTGTAAAGATTGAAATCCTATTTACAAATTTAGGTTCGATGACTAGTTGGAAGTTAATATTCTGGATAAGGGAAGTATATCATGTGGGAAATATTTTGTCAACACAAACTATATTACATTTCTAAAAAATAACGATACTTACTATGATGAGAGCCAATGTACAAACAACAATAAAAACACTCTTCATGTTGCATGGATGAAGAATCTAGAGTATAAAACTCTACGCGATTCTTTTATAGTTTAGGCTGATCATTGAAGCATGGAAAATTGGCTACATGAACATTCACATTGTTATTTTTTCTCTTTGTCCACCAGCAAAAGTCATGACATATTCATCGCTTCAGGTGCTGATAATGATAACGTTCTCAATAATATAAAACTATTCAATATTTTTGAAACCTGTAATTTATGGGTGACCACGAGCACGAGAGATGTTATGACATCATTTCGATCAGAATAATTTGAATTGTCTGTTATATTTTCATGTAATTATCGTCAGATGATCACTCCATATCTGTTCGAGGAGAATTTCTAGCGTGAAATAACTTTAGGTTCATACTCTTCTTTTGTATTCTAGGCTCAAGAAAATCATGGTTATTTTTGTTGAAGGGTATTCCGTAATTGAGATCTGCGAAGAACTAGAGTGTATCACATTAAAATGAAAACGAATTATTGTGTGCATAATTAAAGCTGTCGGCAATCTCAAAGCCCAAAAAAACCAATACAGAGAAATAAAGCCGCTGCCAACTAGTCCACGTGGACTGTAGACTTAGCGGTTCGTATTGGATGATTTTTACTAACCGAGTTTTATGATTGGCTGAAGAGTCATAAAATTAAATCTGAACTCATGTTACGGTGACGAATAGAATGCGAGGATGGTTATAACAGTCGTGTTGTCAATGTTCAGTTCAGGAACTGATCACGATTTGAGTGTTGAAATTCGATATTGGTGCAGTTATAATTACTTGAATTTTTTTTTATCTGTTTAAAATGTAGCGTCCTTTGTCAAGTACTAACAGTAATAACGAGTGTGATAACAACGCATCCTTTTTCCTGTGTAGTGATTCCAATAGCGATGGTGAACAATGCGAAAAAGAGTGAATATAATTCGAATGCATTTGAATACTGAAACATAGAGAGTATGTTTCAATGTATATAAGAATCTACATCTCAAATTTGGTTTCGAGGAAAACACAAACTATTACAAGCAACATCCGATTTTTTCCGAAATTCCTTTCTCAACTGTACGTAAAATAGTCAAAAACAAACCTTATGAACGCAAGACGCGATGTGATACTGGATTACGAAAACCTTTAGATGTTCATCTAATGAAATCATTGAAAAAAAACAATATACGACTGTTACAAAAGCAATGAGATACCTAGAATTGAAATCATAAGGAAGGAATTGAATACTTCCGTGAACTGCTGTGACAAAACCCTCCAGAATTGGAGGAAGAAACCAGAATTTAGATTCAAAATAATAAACAAACGTCAAACACTTATGGAAAGCAGAATAATAGTGAAATGGCGTAACAAATACTTAGAACAAATAACTAAATATAGACAAGAACAACGACAAATTTTCTATTTGGATGAAACTTGAAAAATAGTGGATTGATGGTTCGAGAATGTGTACGCCTAACATGCCTGCAAACAAAGGATCGCGACTAATCATTGTGCATTGCGAAGGAAGTGGAGGATGGGTTTCGAATTCTTTGAAATTATGTGGAAACAATTTGAGGACTGCAATGTTGACTATCATGAGAACATGGAAGCTAATATTTTTGAGCAATGGTTTAAAAACACATTGATACCAAATTTGGATGCGAACAGTGTAATAATTCTTGACAACACTTCCTACCATTCGCGACAGCTCATCAAAATACTAAATAAAAATTTCGAGGAAAGATGAAAAACAAAATTTTTAATGGATAGCAATTTGTATTTGGAAGATTGCAATTCCAGAAACCAACTACTTGAAGTTTTACAGACAATAACATTTGAAAAATTGTATGACCTTGAGAGTATTACTGAAAAGTTCAATTTTAGTTGAAAAAGACTATATGGAGATTGGACACTTCCCTATTAATGGTGGAAATAAATTCAATATTGAATTATCAGTGAAGTGTTTTTGAAGCAATGGATTGTATATACATGTGAGTAAGTAGTATTTAGAAGTATTTTCAATTATCACCCGTTATTTGAATCTCTACTTTCCCACTNGTACCTAATACAAACTACTGAAAAGTCCAATTAGTCAGTAACTTGTATTCATAATTTTTTTTCTACAAATTGAAAAAATCAATTGAGAAAATTAATTTTTGAGACTTAGCTTTCTTAAGTGGTTTTGAAAAAACCTCTTCCGTTTTCAAAACCAGAACTTCGCTATAAAAATGTCGCCCCAAACTGTGACAGTTCAAATTTTTTTATAAACATGACAAATAACTGACTAATTGAATTTTATTACGTAAAAACTTTTTGGGGTGAACTTTTCAGTTTGCGCTTTATTATACTTCAGCAGATTCTCAATTGATTAAGATTTTACTTTTTCTGCATGTGGGAGGTTATCACTCCAAAAAAACAGTATGAAATATTGACTCCTCCACAAAAAATGTCCTTTAAAAATTAATGGATAACTTGTAAAAAACTCAATATTTTATTATACAATTATATTTATATGACTTATAATATAGTATAAGGGAGACCTCAGGTGCAGGTAATGTAACAAAGGGATAAAAACAGCTCGTCAAGTTCAATGCGAATATGAGGCACTAGATGACAAGAGTGAACCAAACCGCACTGCGGTTAAAGATAGAAAAGACTGGTGGTGCAATAGGGATATTAACACGGCTATTAAAGTGACTAGCAGCAACATCGTTATAGATAATCTAGGTCAAGGGCATAGCTTTACATATGTAGTAACACCCGAGTTTACAATTTATATTGTTACGCTTCTCCAAACAACGATATAGAAGATCTTGAGCGCATCCTCTGGGAAGTTCGGCAGCTGATGAGACAACATAAGGGAAATGCAATTGTGGTGGGCGACTTCAATGCGAAATCTCCCCAATGGGGCCTCAACATAAAAGATGTCAAATAGTCACAGAGTGGATAGCCAAAAATGACCTCTTAATAGTAAATGAAGGAAACAAACCTACCTTCCAACAGAGAAGTTACTTGTCAATTTTAGACCTTACCTCAGCCACAGCTGGTATCCAAAAAAGGATAGTGAACTGGGAAGTAAGTGACTCCGAGTCACTCAGTGACCACAACTATATAGTATTTGAACTAGTAGGTAGAAAACAAACATCCACAGAAAAAACACGTAGAAAAGAAGGATGGCAATTTTGAAATCTAGATAGGGAAAAACTCCAGAAAATTGCGAATCAAAATACTGAAGCAATATCAGCAGAAGCACTCTCTAACATCCTCAACTTTATATATGACCAAACAATACCCAGGAGAAGAAACATCCAAAATCGAAGACCTGTGTACTGGTGGAATGAGGAAATCTCTCAAAAACGTAAGAACTGTATAAGAAAAAGGCTATATGAGAAGCCTTGAAAGGAATGTACTTTGTGAGACCCAACGCTTATTGGAAGAATTCAAACAAAGTAAAAAAACCCTCCAGTGCAGCATTAAAAAATCTAAGAGAGAGTGTTGGAAAGCCATATGTAACAATGTAGACTCAGATATCTGGGGAGATGGGTATAAAATCGTAATGAAGAGTTTGATAGGCTACCCACCAAGACTAGAAATGAGCATGCATACCGTAGATCATCATTGTCAATCATCTATTCCCAATACATGATGAAGTAAACTTCAGGTGCGATCATAATGCAGTCTCCATACACTTCAGCCCGGATGAGCTACGATATGCCCACTCGAAATTTAAAACGAACAAGGCACCCGGACCTGAAAATATCCCATCGGAAATACTCAAATTTCTTGCAACAAACAACGAGAAATATGTACTAGCAGTATATAACAACCTAGCAAGACAAGCTGAATTCCCTTCCCAGTGGAAACGAGCAAAACTTTTGCTGCTGAGAAAAGGAGATAGAACGATGGATGATCCAAGTGCATTCAGACCAATATGCCTTCTAGACGTAGAGGGAAAGCTGTATGAACAGCTGATTGTCATAAGGCTCAAGAAAGAGCTAAAATGAACAGGGGGAATCTCGCCTAGGCAACATCGGTTTATCGAAGGGCACCAAACAGTTGATGGTATCAATGAAGTGCTGGAAATTGCAAGGAGAACTCAAGAAGAATTTACTCACGCACATCGAAGACTGTGCGTTGTCATAACCTTAGATGTCACGAACGCGTTCAACAGCTAGCTGGCTGATAATTTTAAATGATTTGAGAAGGAGAAATATAGACGAGAGCTTGATCAATATCATCGCATCCTAGCTCTCCAATAGAGAAATAATAATAGAGACTGAAAATGAGTCCAAAGTGAGAAGGATCAACAGCGGAGTGCCTCAAGGAACCATCCTTGGTCCAACCTTGTGGAATGTCATGTAAGACGGTTTGCTAAGACTTGAAATGCCAAAATACGTCACACTGATTGGTTTTGCCGACGACATAGCCGTGATAGTAGCTGCTCAGAACGAGCAAATACTGATGAATTCAGCCAATACTGCGATTCAGCGCATAATAAATTGGCTCCACCTTAATAGGCTCAAACTGGCACCAGAAAAAACTCAAGCAGCACTTCTCAACACTAGAAGGAAAATAAAGCCTATACAATTCGATGTGCAAGATATCAAAGTGCTTCCAAAGATAGCAGTAAAGTATTTGGGGGTCTGGTTGGACACGAAACTAACGTTCGCTGAGCATGTAAACAAAACATGACAGAACGTAGAAAAGACCGTAGCCGCCCTAACGATGATTATGCCAAATGTGCAAGGACTTATAGCATCGAAAAGAAAACTAATAATGAGTGTGGCTCTCTCGCAATTACTTTATGGCGCACCAGCGTGGTACGCAGCGGCAGAAAACTCAAAACTGGTCTCAAAATTGCAGAGTGTCCAACGCAAAATGTCGATCAGAATATGTTCCGCCTATAGAACAATTTGCGCAGAAGGGGCTGGGGTGATATCTGGCATTCCCCAAGTAAAACTTCTTATTTATGAACGATTGGACAAATACAATGGAGTAGACGAACAAACCGCATAAACTCTTCTCATTGACAGATGGCAGACCATCTGGA